TCCAGATACAGCCAGCCACTGCTATCTCCAGTGCACTGTTGGTATAGCTCAGCTGTACATGTGACTGCATGTCAGTCCACAAAACGACGTCCACTGTGCTGGACACCTAAACAGCATTGGTGCACTGAGCCCTGCACTGCCATGCACAAAGCTGTTTTTGCCCAAAATTATCTTTGCAACATAAGATTCCCTGAAACACTGACATTCTGCAAGCTGACACTGGCATTAACTTGTGCAAAACTCTGAGGTCAGATTTAGGATGTACATTGTACATCCACCAAAATTGTATGGCCATGCCACTGCTACACTGAGCATGCTTCACAAATGCTCGGCCAACTGGACTGTGCGGCCACCAGTGTTATTTGCATTGGTTTATTTTAGCTAACATGTGTGGACCACATAGACATTTTATGGGCATGATCCACTTAACTTCTTAGTATGATCATTAACCAATATATTTTTCACATATACCATCAATGGTTTATCTATGTTCATTTTTCAATGTCTTTCTTATTTAACTGCACTCAGCACAGCAATATCCATAACATTTAATGCATGGCTAGATCATGAAGCATGTATGCTACATCAAGCATGCCTGGTGTTACAGATGTCACTGCAAAAAAAATTCAGTGCATATGCATCATAAATCCAAGACACCAGACCTTTGTTACAGTTACCATGAATTTTAGTGAATACACAGCCAGCATTTCAAGATATCATTTATTGAGAAGGTAAATTTGGAAACAGTATTCTACTCTTTTCCCTAACATCCAATTTTGATAATGCAGCTCAATCTGGCCTGGCCTGAGTTAGATGCACACAAGTACCAGGTCCAGCACACTAATATTGTGAGGCTTAATGCATGGGAGAGAGCCATGTGTGCATGTACGTGCACAGGGCAATGTGGCAAGAAGGTTGCATGCAATTATAGACATTCTTCCATTGGGAGGACTATACCTGAAGCTCCATCTAGCAAATGAAAATGCTGGGTGGGTACACCATACACAACATTAAGCATGTAAAACTGCAAATATTTCTGCTTGAAAAACATATAAAATTGGTTTTGCCACGTTCTTAAAGTTGTACAGACGTGGTCGAAATCCGAACAGTTAGCTGAACAGTTTCCAAACTGTGGGCACCCCATCCTCGATGTGGTTCCTGCGTTATATGACTGTTTACTGAGCAGTTACAAAAATCATTTCATAAATGCTTTCCTCCATCATATACAGCTTGGCCATGAATAGCATCATATACTCCCCCATACTCTGGGACAGACGTCCTCTCCGCCTTCTCTCCAATACAGGCAACACGGTACGATACAAATGATCCGGGTAAAACCGGCAAAACAGGAAAGCGATTCTGGCGCGGCTGCGGCAGGCCTGCTATGGCTGCACTCGCTGCACCTCCAAACTGCTGCAAAATAATTCGCCTTAAGTACGTTCAGCTATTTCACACGCGTTATTTATATTTAGTATTGTAAACGTGCGTAGATAAAGGTATATTGCACCTAAAACTCAACCCCTTTAATATTTCCGTATCTAAAGGGCCCATAACAGGAGAGTTGGTCCCCAAAGGTCTGTTATGGGCCAGAACATGTCTGTTGTACTACAGGTGCCGGTAGCATTTTTGTTCGCTTCGGTTGTCATATTGGTCAGAGCGTCTGCCTTCGGAATTCGGATTCACCCAACCGTGGTGCGGTGGATTCGAATGTTTTTATGCGCTCTCTATTGGCTGGCTGGTATGGCCGGTGGCAGCGACCACGCTAAAGGTCAGGTGATGTCAGGATGTAGGATCGACATTGTCACGAGCTTTCGCCACATAGTTCTCCGGCTGACCTGAATTTTACGATGGGATAGTAGCGTCAGCTCTCACGCGACAGTACTGCCAGGGGCACAGGAGGGGGAGGGGAGCATGGGTTACGTGCTTCCCACTTAGGTGCCGACTGGCTGGCCGACTGTCGGGGTTTCGGACCGCATGGCCGGGTCCTCAAATGTCAGTCAGTGTCTCTTGCTCTGATCGAGGGTCCTTGGGCAAAGTGGGCCTTTCTGTCGCTCAGAGACCACTTACACCGAACAGTTGGCCTCCTGTCTGCCTGGGTCATGAACCCATTTCTCAAGCAGGGATGAGGCCCGGGGACCGCGATTTACATCGGCCGAGTCCCTGAGACAATGAGGTGCCGCGGCTGTCGGACAGGAGCCCACAGTGCCTAAAAGGGGTTTTTTGTTTGAAAAGAGCCCATTGCCGGCCAGGGGCAATTTTCTGAACAGGGATAGTGACAGAACCCCAAAGTTCAGAGAGCTTCTGGCGTTAGACAAGGTCCTCTGCGAATGAAACAAGGAATTGCAACTCACAGTGATGAAGTTCATGATGGGACAACAGAAAGGCCCTGTGTCACTGAGTGATCTCAGCCCCAAAGGGAGGAGGCTCCGACCGGCATCTCAGCTAGGGGCCCAATGAGCCGTACTACAATCACCGTGCTAATTATTGGACCCCCACACCATGCATACATACTTTTGCGTCAGTGAGGGTCCTTGCGTCAGTCCAGGTCCAACTGCCTCGGCCAGGGGGTCTTTCACGTCAGTGAGGGGGCGGATATATCTTGTGTCGCTATCAGGACCTCCGGATGGACCAGGGGCACCGCAACCAGACTCATCAGAATAGCAGCTGGTAGATAACCCGGATTTGGTAATGGACCTCCCAGTGTTCTAGTCATGGGGCCTCCTGCCCAGGAGAGGGTAAGTGGTCTCCTTAATGTTCGACGATGTAGATCGGCAACGGTAAATTATTTGATTTGACATTATGACCATTTCGTATAGTGCAGTGCTTGTTCAGTGTAAGACATGACAAGTATTAACAAGGAATTACGATTACCTTCTTAAATGATAATATGCGTGATCTTCGTTACGTAAGTTGCATTTTTGATGAATTTTCGGTCGCGGACCTTGCTCACAGTCAAAATCTAAATGAATTGAATGGATGAAATGAAATTCAACTTGACATTTTGACGCTGTAAGCAAGATCCGCGACCGAAGAAACGTCAAAAACACCACTTACGATATCACGTATATCGTTATTGTAAGGATGCTTGGTGGGACGAACGCTTGTTTGGATAGTCATCCGAGGATGCCCGTCCTTTTCTAAGGCGACGGGTGAAAAATGTGTATAAAATCGGGTTGAACATGCGCGCTCGCAAACTTTAGAAGCAAAAACACCGCTACCCGGCGCCTCAATTTCCGTCGAAACAAACAAGACGGGCTGCAGCAGCTGACGCCTCGCGCCGGGCGCCGGGTGCGTGAGGGTGACTACGTGTTGTGAAATAGTGCCTCTGAAAGCCCTTTAAAATCAATGTGCACCGTTCGACGGTTAGACTGGGGCATGCATTTTACCTGTGCAAACTTAAGGCTGATCCTCTGAACAAATTAGCCGTAAGACCATTTGCCGTCGACGCGGGCTGGAACTTCGCCGAACGAATGAAAAGCCATATCAACACAAACAGTACAGATTCATCTATTATGCCAATAGTTTGTGAAGCTGTGAATGTTCCCATTATCGAACCGAAAATTGCGCTGGTGAAATTATACGGCGTACAATAATTTCCTCACCTGCGGATAATTTCATAAAGCGTTCAAAGGTATTATTTTTCGATGCGAGTTCGTTTCGTCGTGCCGTTGGCAGATATATCATGCTAGCCATGGTACCGCGCTACGCGGTCCATAACGTTAGTTTTACGCCTAAGTTGCCCAGTGCATTCGATTCAGTATCTTGATTACTTGTTCTGAATAGAACGTCTGTAGCACATGCCCAAGACTCGGTTGCTCACCGACATATCCAAGGATTCTGCACTGGCAGGGACGTCACTTTGTAGACCTTTGGGTAGCTTAAGCCCCCTCCCCTTCCCCAATGCTCTTCTGAGACTCTTCAATCCATGTCAGCAAAGAAGGAATACTGGGCCAAGTAAAAGCAGAACAACTATCGAACTATTGGTATGCAAGGTAGTAGGCGCCTTGACACGTCACTATTAGCATGGTGTTGGTTTTACACAAAATAGTATCAGGTATGTATCCAATGTTCCTGTCATGCTGTCTCCTTCATGCGTCAAGCCGGACTGCAAATGTGTGACAAATTTTTCAAATAACAATGCCTGGATCGGGATAAAAACATTTAACGGCAACGTGCGGCAGCTTTTAACAGTACAGACTGGACCGGATAAAATATAACGCATATTTTTCCCAACAGTGACAAGTGTATATGTCGCATAGCCGTGGCTGTGATGGTTATGCAATACGATCGGCGACAGCAGGAATCATCAGTGATTCCTTACCAAGATCTACTAATTTTTTGCTGTGAATTACGCCCCATTCTAAGCCTTTCACAAAAAGAGCTCACATGAACTTGAAATAAGCGGTCATTCCCTGCAGGAAAACAAGTTGAAGCTACGAAATATCTAAAACAAATTGATTTTAACATAGAGGGCGCAAATTCAAGTGGCCGAAATCCGGACACAATCAGTCTTTGGGGTAGGTTAGGTCAATGATTTCGGCTGAGTCCCGCCCAACCGATTTTAGAAAGTCACGCCCCTGTTCACTGATGCATCAGATCCAGACTTCTTCTCGTCTCCTGTGTGTCTTAAGCAGTCTTCAAGGCATTCACAGTGACCCGCGTAGCTTCAGTCCAGCCAGTAGCAGTGCCACTGCATTAAAGACTGTGCTTCGTTTTTTTCTCATACTTTCTGCGCTCGGCGGCCGCAAGCGTTATTACACGCTGAGACACAGAGCAGTCCCCTTGAAATAGCCCGGTCCTGTCACGCAGGCGCGGCCCGATCCGGCAGCTGATGACGACGCTATGGGTCGGGGAAGCAAAGTTTGCCAATCACCATGCCCAACAGAATGGCGTAGTAGCTCCCTCCATCCTTTTGACCGCCTAGTAATATCACGTTATATTGCGACTCGTGAAACAATTTCGATATCAGTAGATGGCGACCCCCTTGTGCTGCCCACTACGTCAATATATGTATATATATATATATATATATATATATATATATATATATATCTGTATATATATATCTATATCTATATCTATATGTTTATTTATGCGTGTGGGGGGATATGTGTTTGTGTGTGCATTAGTTACGTCTCGAAAGATATTGCTGGACAAAAAAAATTGCACGCATCAGATAAATGATGAGAGATACCGAGCACCAATGCTAAGTTGTTCAATGCATTAGCAAGAAACATTATTCACATAGATAAGACAGTCGTAACAGCCTTATTCCTCGGAGAATAACCAGGAAAGTGGAGATATGGTTGGGTTGATATTTCAGCAACATGCCTTCGTTGAAACAATAACTGAAGTGACTTCTACTATCGTTTCGATAAAGGTATGTCGCCGAGATACCAACCCAACCTTATTTCCATTCTCTTGGTTATTCCCCGAGGAACAAGGCTATTACTACTGTCTGCTCTATGAGCACCAACCCTAGTTAATTAACGGAACGAGGAATAGCCCCAAAGCTTGTCACGTGGCCCAGACTAATTTCGCCTGTTAAAAGCGCCATTGCCTCTTTTGCGTCACATACACCATAATTATGGCTTAGATGCGTTTAGTGTAACTTATATTGCCCCAGCGTTCAACGTTTCCAGTGTGCGATACCTCGTGTGGTACGCTTAAGGCCTCGGTGCGAGGCGTATTTGTGCTGCCAATAACAGAGCTTCAGTAAAGACACAATGCTTCCGTCCTGTTGTTTTCTCAGTGAGAAAGGCTTTTGTCAAGGATGTCTGACCATTCACCGGAATCGAGTCCAGACACAGATCTCAGAGAGCAGGTGACCACGAAAAAGAAGAAAAGACTCTACACACCACGAACGCGAACGAGACGCATTATAACTGCCGGGCCTTCTCAGAATCCTGAAGTTCCAATAGCCGAGTCCGATCTACTCGACTTCAGAAACCGCGTTTCACCACCACTGCCGCGAGGGGAATTGCAAGCATTACCTAAGGAGTCACAAAACCTGACATCAGAATATGACGCATCGTGTGAGTCTCTCGACATAAAACATCCCGAACTAGAATCCCGAGACCCCACGGAGTCGGAAGCGACGCTGACCCCGGCGGGATTGCGATGTCAGGAAAGTATCGTGAACGACGACCCACAGGAGGGACTACCTCCGAATACAAATGTCCACCTCTCCTTTGACGCTGGGTACTTGGCATCTTCTGATTCACAGTCCGCCTCAGACTTTCGCACAGTTGTGGAAAAATACACCCAAGACCCGGACGTTGCACAGTGGAACCAGAACAGAAATCCAGAGATTCGGATTCATCATCAAATCATCTACGACCGATTCCCTGATGGTCTGGCAGCTTTTGCGGCCAGGATTGGCCTGAGTGCTGTGCCACCAGTGGATGGCGTACCTGAAACTGGCATCGAACCGGAGAGTGCTCGACAACGCTATCGCGAGGTCGGCCAGACCAGCTCGGGCGGCAGCATGATGGACAGTTCGGTGTCCGTGAAGCAGGAGCCGGATAATGAGCCGGCGGCCCCTACAGACAGCCGCAGCGATGTCTCGGCCAACCACATCGACGCACCGTACGACGAGGGCTTCGAAGCCATGCTAATCACGCGCATCCAGAACCGGATCCGAGAGCTAGGCGGCATCGGCGAGTACGACCTCTCCGACCCGACCGACCTTACTCCCGCCGGCCGCCAGGTCAAGCAGCGGTTCGGCTTCCTCATCCAAGACGGCAGCGACGACGAGCAGGCCGGCCCGCCGTCCGTGCTGAAGAGCCGAGAGCGCGGTCGGCGACGACGGCGGCGCGTGCCCGACTGGATGCTGACGGATGTGCCGTCGGACGAGACGCTCCGGACCGACCCGGCCGCCCAGTCGTCGGCCACGTCGGTCAGCTCAGAGCCGCCGTTCGCTGCCACGCACCCGCCGCGCCGCTACGTCGGCTCGCCCGAGTCCGAGAGCGAGCTGTCGGCACTGCGCGACGTCCGCGCCGAGGGCGGCGACGAGTTCGTCGAGGCGGTGCTCTGGCGGCTCCAGGAGAGCCTGCGTGCCAGCCACAACTTCCGCGAGTACCGCGACTCGGTGGCGCGCAAGAGCGACTACGAGCGCCGCGCGGAGCGGCACCACCAGGACACGGCCAGCGACGACACGGACGAAGAAAGCAGCAGGAGCAGCGCCGGTCGCGTCCACTTCCAGAAAAAGGTGCTGGTGCGTCCACTCGGCAAAGACCCGCTGCTCACCGAGTACCGGCGGCCTTACTCCAAGGTCTCTAAACAAAAGCTCTCCGCCGTCAAGGAGTACAACCCTGAGCCAGATGACCCGGATTACGAGGACTCGCTGAAGGACAAGACAGAGGCGGAGGCCGCGAAGGCGGCGGCTGCAGCGGCGGAGGCAGACCAGACGGATGCTGCTCCGACGACGCCGCCGACCGCGCCGGCACCAGCGCCCAAAACGCAACCGGGATGGAAGAAACTATTCGTAATTATCTGCTTTATTTCTGAGTGAGATTGGTTCTTCAAGCCGCAATCAGCAGCCACAGCGTTTAGTATTCATGTTGCTTTGGCGGTGAAATTGCACCCGTAGAATGCATGCGGGGAAGGGTGATATCGTAACATATCAGCGTAGGGGGATCTAAATGTACGGATTGAGACCCTAAAATCTCGCGTTTCTCACGCTTTTTTGAGAGCATGCTGGATACAACAAAAACATTCCTTCAGCTAATGCAATCCGAAATTTATTCCAGAACATGCACCGACGGGCATTTGTCCGGATTGTTTCAGTGTTGTGTTGGTGGGGCGGAGGAACCAGCCGCCAAAGCTCCACCTCCTCCAAAGCCTGCAGCTGCACCACCAGCTCCACCAGGCTCCACCAGCTCCACCAGCAAGTTGGCAAAACAACCTGAAGTGAAGCGAAAGAGACGCAAAGTCAAGAGCCTGCAGGTGAAGGACTTGGACCCGGACACCCCCAACGAAGAGCTCCGGACGCTCCACATGATGTTTGACGACCAGCTGGAGCTATGCAAGCTGACCGATCCGGACACGGATCCAAGTCTAGACGACCCGTCAGAGCTGTCGGACCCCGACTCTGAGCACGAGACGCCCTGTTTCGCGGACTTTCTCAGAGCATGCGGACTCCCGGATGCAAAGGTCGACGACTATATGAAATACTACAAGACTCACAAAGGTAAGGAATGATTATGGTCCATAATGGTCTGGTCACAAAATATCTTAAACGCATTTAAAGTAAGAATTCATGTCTGGCTTTATTCCGTTTCGTTCTATAAACAGAGTTTCAACCATTTGTCGCACTTTTGCACCATGGGCCGTGCAACGATCACAACGGGCGGCTGTGTCTGGCCTTTGCCAGGCACGTCAAAGATTCTGAGCTCGTAATGGACTCGGTGCGGGTGAACAAGGGTAGTCACCCATCATATGTAGGTAAGGTTTTTCTTTAAACCTGAATGCACTTAGCACTCGCCGAAGTGCATGAACGTGTGGGCAGCACATTAGAGTGCAAGTTAACAGCTATCAGACCGTTTAAAACCCAAACCAGATGCATTACCATGAGGATAGTCTGCTCTACAGAGCGGTCAGAGCCTTCAAACTACCAAGTCCGTATCCAATAGAGCCCGCGTCCCCGTCCGGGAGCGCTGAGCCTTCTCGTCCCGGCAGGGCTGACCGACAGCGGCCACGGCGACTGGGCAGGCACGGGTCGAGGCTCGAGTGACCGGCCGTCCAGCGCCAGCAGCGGGGACGACCCCAGCTGGTGGGACAAACGCGCCCGCGAGCGCCGTCAGGACTACCGGCGCAAGCGGCGCGAGCACCGCGAGTACCAGCGCCAGATCGAGACCCAGCGCGACCTGGAGGTGGAGAGCCAGTTGCGCCGCGCGCTCGAGACGCAGCGCGAGCTGCTGCGTGAGCGCGAGGTGCAGCGCGAGATCGAGCGCACGCGCGAGTCCAGTAAAGAGCGCAAGGAGCTGCACCTGGAGGAGGAGGTGCTGGAGAAGGAGCTGCTACGGCGGCTGTTGGCCGAGCTGCAGAACGAGCAGGTGCGTGCCAGGGATCGCGAGAAGCGTAGGGTGGTGGCCAGGGTTCTGGAGGAGGAGCTGATCACGAGGCTACGCCTGGAGCTGGCGAGGCTGCGGGAGAGGAGCGAGGAGCGGAAGGGAGCATATTCCACGCAGCTGCTGGAGGAGGAGGCCAACACCCGCGAGCTGAACAACCGCATCGAGGAGCTGCGCAGGCGGATGGAAGAGAACAAGATTCTGAGGGATTATGAAAGGGACGAGGAGCAGCAGAGACTCCAGCTGCTGGAGGAGCTTCTCGTCAAGGAAAGGCGACGAATGGACATTCATGATGCCCAGCGTCTGAAAGAGCAGGACTTGGAGGAGGCGGACAGAGATCTCCTGATGGACATTGAGACTCAGTCCGGGGAGGATGAAGCGAAGAGTCAGAAAGCGTACGAGGAATGCGCAAGGGAGGTTGTGAGGAAAAGTGAGGAGCATAAGGCAATACGTTCAAAGCTCACTGGTGAAATTCGCAAAAGAGAGTTGGTCAAGCGCAAATTGATCTCACTTCAAGATATTGAAAAGACAAACCCACGGCTTTTCCAGTTGGCCAAAGTAATGGAACAGGTCAGCAACGAAAAGGGTTGCGTTGAGCTGGAGTACGATGAAACTGCGTCCTCTTCTGGAATTCTGAAAAAGGAAAGCATGTCTGAGGGTGAAGGGATAGCGGACCAAGAGCAGGGTACCAAACAAGACTCGAAAACCGACGGGGAAGCAACCGATGGTGAAGCGGGGGAGGGCGTGCCAGGCTTGTCAGAGGATGCGTCCGAGTCCCCTGGCGTCGAAGCGAACATCAACGAAGAGGGCGCCGCCACGGAAAAGGCTGACGATGGGGCTGAACAGTCTGCCGAGGCTGCCGGGGACGAAGCATCTTCCAAACCGGGTGCCCCTGACGGAGCCACCGACCAATCAAAAGACCCGGATGTGAAGGATTCCGAAAATGTAGAAAAGGCGTCTCCAGTGGACGCCTCACCCGATGGCGAGTCTTCTGCCCGTCCCGAGGGTTCGGGGGCCGCCGGCGAAGAGGCCGACACAGTCGGTGCGGACCTGGTCGACGCCAGTCCAGCGCCTGCTGCCGATGAGACGGCTCCGACAGCTCCGGGGCCGACGGAGGCGGAGACGACGGCTCCAGGATCGTCAGACGGCACCAACCAGGCCGAGGGTGCGCCCGAGGAGGCGGAGGGCCCGCGGCTCCAGGAGTCAGCAGTGCAGGTGGCTGCGTCGGCACCGGGGGCGGACGGCGGCTCGGCCGGAGCGCCGGCGGTGGAGCAGGGCGGTGGTGTGACGGAGGGCGGCTCGTCCGAAGCGGCGCCGGCGACGGAGCAGGGCGGCGGTTCAACGGAGGGCGGCTCGCCCGAAGCGCCAGTAACGGAGCAGGGCGGCGGTTCAACGGAGGGCAGCTCGCCCGAAGCGCCAGTGACGGAGCAGGGCGGCGGTGCGACAGACGGTGGCCCATCTGAAGCGCCAGCGACGGAGCAGGACGGCGGCGCGACGGGCGAAGGCTCATCCGAAGCGCCAGCGACGGAACAGGACGGCGGTACGACAGAGGGGGGCTCGTCCGAAACACCGGCGACGGAACAGGACGGCGGAGCGACGGACGGCACGGCTGCGGTGGTAGCTGTCGTGGTTACGAACCAGGAGGGTCTGGAGGTGGAGCAGCCGGCGGCGGCAGCCAGCCGTAGCGACGAGGTCAGCATCAGCTCTATGTCAGGCGTCAATGATCTCTATGAAATTGAGCACGGCATGAAGTAAACGTCGGCCCGGCTCAGCGCAGACGGGTCTTTTTGGCCGGTGAATATCGACAACAAATCAGGACAGTCGATCCTGCAAGCAGATAAGTCAAGCAGACTTCTCGGCAACGTCGTTAACGTGTCGAATGGCGCCCGTACCTCGTCTGTGCCCGCCCTTAGCACTGTATGCGCACACGTGATTTGTAGGAGCTGTGTGACACAAGCTGTTGACACGTATCCGCAGTTGGATTTCACGTTAGTGGTGTCCGCTCCCTGTCGTATATGATTAAAAATATCTCACTTTGTGCGGAATCGCGTTTTTCATCACTTAACATTAGGACGAAGACGAGCTGTTCCTGTCTGAATCACCGAAGCTAGAGACCGTCCGTGTATTTTGCTTAGCTCTGGATCTAACAAAGTGGCAGAGAAATTTGACGCTTTCCTTGCCACATCGGAGCCGTTTCGACCAGCTGCCGCCCCAAGATGCCACTTGCTTGAACCTTCATCCGCACTAATTTTCTGACATTCCGGTGCACACGCCTGGTCGGTTGCCAGACCACCGTTCTGTTGGGGTCGTCGGTTGGAGACGAGGTGTGCATCGAGTGCCGATTATTGTAATTGTTGGGCCGATACAGTTTTCAACAAACGCAAGCCCGCCAATTGCGGCTCAGTCGCGAGTAATAACTGAAACAATATGCTGGGGTTGTCCCAGCAGTGAAAAAGACGCGGGTTGATCGCGATCAAGAACAGCCCTGGCCCCACCACATCACCAAGCGTGCTTCCAGGTAACATGAGTGGATTCACAGCTCGGCACGGTAGCTACTACTCTTTTTCATCCACTATACGCGGTATCTTAAATTGAATCACCCGCGCTACACTTGTATGTCGAGGCCAGTCACGGACTTGACCTTCCCGATCGGGTGAGCGCTATCAATTAAACCAGCGGAATACGTTCCACGCCAGTATTCGGGAGTCCGGCATAACGAGGCGCGTCGGCTACTTGGACCATTTTGGTGTTCAAGGGTTGCAACGTGGATAACCGTGAAGCACAGGACTGATTCCAACACATACCATGCTGGTTCCTTACTACTCATCATTGCATATCACGAGAACGGGATGCCGCACTGGCGCGGTGTGATAAATGCCGGGTAGGAAAAGACAGGGCAGTCATTTTTCAATAGTATTTTGATTCTCTCCAACACCACGGCTCAGTTCAACGGTACAGCGCAAAGTGGTGCAGTTTGCCAGCCAATGGCAACTCATAGTTGGCACAAGCAAAACTGCTGGTTCGACGCTCAACACGAACGCGAAAACTGAAGAATGCTGCATTACAGAAACATAGACAACGCCATCCTTAAACGATAAACAAAAAGCAAGAAAAACATCATCAATGCTGTCTGTAAAATGTGACTAACCAGACAACTGCAGTATGTGCAGGTCAGAGGTTCACTAATCACCCTAACCCAACCATAGCTGCTAATACTAGCGAGTGGTGTTCTCGGGCGACCACATTCAAGAAAGGCAGCCGTGGAGACGACTGCCATGCTCCAGAGAAAAGACTGCACGAAACGCAGACACAGAATACTTAAAACAAGCGTCGAATTTGGCACCACTGGAATGAATGCCGTCGAAGGCGCCGTTGGTTGCCGGTGCGCCACTTTCACCGCGGTACAGCAACAGCACAATAATATCAGACCGCGGCAAAAGCGGTAAGGCAATCGTATCACTACAGCCGCCGTCGGCCACTGGGTCCAGCAAAGGCTTGCCGATGCTGATAACATCTCCGTCAACACGGCATAACTCTCCAGAACGTAACAACAAATAAAAGGGTCTCGCCGTGGCAGCCTGGAGAACAGACTTGTGCCTTCCATTGTCTGGCCAGCCCGCCAGCACGCCCAGTTTGCACAGTTTAGCGGCAGATCTCCGCCCCCTGTCCACACAGCTTAGCAGCGGATCTGCACCCACTGTCCGGACAGCTCAGCAGCAGATCTGCAACCGCCGTCCGTCCGGACAGCTTAGAAGCGGACTTGCACCCACTGTCCAGACAGCTAGGCAGCAGATCTGCACCCAACGTCCAGACAACTTAGTAATGGATCTGCACCCCTGTCCTGACGGCTCAGTGGCGGATCTGCACCCACTGCCCGGACAGCTCAGTAGCGGATCTGCACCCACTGTCCGGACAGCTCGTCCTTGCGGAAGTAGTGCGGCCGTCCGTCCGGGAAGATGGTGATGGCCGGGAACGGGTGCTCCTGGATGTGCTTCAGTGTGCTCCGCACCTGTGAGGCAGCCAGAGGTCACGCCACAGCACTCTCGCCCCCCCCCCCCCCCTCCACGTCCGCAGCGTCTCAGCGACAGACGCCCGGCATCCCCGGAGTGAGACCACACAACGAACGGGGGCTGACGCTGGGGAAGCTGCCCCGAACCCCACGGGCACCAGCTCGGCACCAGCGAGACAGCGCTAGGAAGCGGTGTAACTCGGCGCATCGCTTCCTTCACTTCTAGACGGTCTGAGTGACAGCGATTTCAGAGTTAAAGTTAAGCCTCAGGCCATACACCAATAAAATCGCTTAAACATACCCGAGGTATCAGCAGGAAACGCCGACGGACGCCGAACACAGACGGCGTTTTCTGATGCCACCAGTGCAGACGGTCACGTCTCACCTGCATGGCGAAGTGGGGCGGCTCGACCTCGGGGCTGGTGGAGAGGTGCTGCAGCAGGAACTCGTCGCTCTGCTGCAGCCACAGGTCCACACCCCGCAGCGGCTCGTAGTTGAAAGGTCCGATCCGCAGCAGGCCTTGCTGACAGTCGTAGATGTCCAGTACCTGGCCGCGCGGCCGACGGAGCGGGTTAGGTCACGACGGGCAGGTCTGGTGCGGCTCAGGCGGGTACGGGTCAGCCACGGCCCGCACAGGGGCAGGTCAACAGTGGCCGTCACAGGCCCTGGCGGAGCACAGGCCAGTCGAACACAAGACGCGAAATGGGAGGCGAAAATCCTGCCAGTCTACGTGATCTTACAACGGAAACGTGCTCTAAATATGCCGCAAAACGCGGCATAAGAAACATCTTCGAAGCGACAAAAAGCACCGGCAGCGAAACACCGCTAAGCCACACAAAATCAAGCTCAGCCTATAGAGGCAGCCGCAGGCGGCTTCATCCACAGTCGCGGTCGCAGGCTGCCACCCTGCCCACCTGGTGTCCGCCGGTGTAGAAGCGGGCTGAGCGGAGGCCCAGCTCGGGTCCCTTGTCCGGGAAGGTGGCCGGGAACAGTTCGCCCGTCTCCGTGTTCACGCCCACGCCGTACACCACCGGCCAGTTCATGCCAGCCCGGATGATGGTGTTGAGGTCGCCGAGACAGCAGGTCACCAGGTCCACCTCGTACGGCGACTTCTGGAACGAGTCTGCGCCAGGCGGCGAGGCGTCAGCGAGTCCTGGCCACCGGCCTGCCACACGGCCTCATACACAGCGGCACAGGCAGCGGGTCCCAGCCACCGGCCTACCACACGGCCTCATACGCAGCGGCACAGGGACTTCACTTCGTCCCTGGTCACGTGGACCAAAATGATATGCAACAGACCAGCCGTACGCCAATAGAGCTATATATCTCGTTTGGATGGGAGAGCGTTATCCCATCTCCTCTCACCAAAGTTTTCTCCAAATATCAAGCACACATCACCCCTTCCCCTCCTCTCAGTCACCCAAGACACTAAAAGCACACAAAACAGACACTGCAAGGGAAACTACCTGTTTTCCCGAGCTGGATAAGGTCACACGTAAGCCTGGCTCGACAGGGCATTCTGGAAAAGCTACATGACTGGGCCTTGATCCCGTTGCACAGCAGGTTGCGGGGAGACAGGATCCCACCAGCTCTAGGTGCCGGTAGACTGCGCACAACAGCACAGCACCGTCAACGGCGGTCCCCAATGCACCGCCGGCAGCAGTGCATTGTTGTATTGTCTCCAGCCCCGGTGTATCACACACTGCAGTACAATGCTACCGGCCCCGTTCCCAGGCACACCAGACGTCCGGCACTCGCCGAGGCCGGCGACTGTCTCATACACTGAGAGCCCACACAGCGTACCAGGCCGGGGACGAGACCGGACCGTGCGGCGCCACGCGTCCAGCGCATCAGCCACGCGTGAGGACCCTCCAACGGCGCCACTCACTGAGCAGGGAGAGCGTGAGCTCCTCGGAGACGCCGCGCGTGTCGCGGAAGCCGCCGGCCAGGTGCAGCTGCACCCGGCCGGCCGGGTAGCCCATGGACAGCTCCGATATGCGGTGCAGGATCGTCTGGATTGACTCCTCGTGGCCGCAGCCGTCCAGGTGTGTCAGCGCCGTGGCGCCCGACGCTGCGGAGGACGGCACGACGTCAGCGGCGCCCGACGGAGCGCCGGGCCGGCGGCACATGGGGGCGGCGGTCACAGAACTACGGGTCAGGGGAGTGGAGTGAGACTGTCCCGCACGTGAGCCCACCTTCAGAGGGCACTGCCATCAGAGTGACACGCGAATGACTCCAACCAGCGTGGCCATGACAATGGCCTCACGCCGGGAGGGTAGCTGAAAGTTTCGAAGTGACAGCCATTCGGCATCGGCCAGTTGACGTCGCTATGATCCCGACCGCTGCGTCAAACGTCACGCGACGCCAACCGATGTGTCGCGGGTAAACGCCGACTCCCGTGTCAAATGACACCCACGTGACACTGACCGGAGAATCACGAACATCCACGTGACACCGACCGGAGCATCAACACCCACGCGACACAGACCGACGTGTCACGAACCAATGGCGCGCGACGCCCACTGACGCACCGCACGTGGCCCGCCAGTGGCCCTGACACCGAGGCACCACCCGGCAGCCCCCCGCCACTGACCGGTGTGTCGCAGGACGGCGATGTGGCACGTAGTGCAGTCATCCGTGCCCAGGATGGAGACGTTCTTGTCATGCGGCACGGTGACGGCCAGCTCGCGCTGGTTGACGTACAGCAGGCCCACAGGACCGATGCACTTGGCCGGAATGCTGCAGAACTGGCGCGCACCGTCCTTCAGGTGCGGGTAGTGCTG